AGGTAGAGCAGAGGGGAAGACTGGAGTGAGTATCCCAAAAAGCCTATGAGGGACTTTAAATTTTTAGTAACCTGTTTTCAGTGATGACAAAGCAACTTTAAAGGCCATTTTCATTACATCTTGGATAGGGGTCTGAGTGCTCTCCTCAGCTGGTTTGAGCTTTGGGTTAGCTGGTAAGAGGACTTGGTGGGTCCCGGTGTGGGCACTGAGAGGAGAAGAGAGGAGTGAATGGGTGGAGAGATACCTCAGTACCTGTTACTTCAGCAAGGGGCAATGGTCTGAGAACCGGCAGAGTTTGGGTTCCATCAGGTAGCCCCTGTATGTTCACATCCTTATGACTTACAGAAGAAGTCGGTTTTTCCCCCACACAGCCATGACTGTTTGTGGCTTTGATAGTCCGCCAGGCAAACATAGTAATCTAGGTTAGCCAACCTACATCTGGCTCGAGTGTCCCTACATCCAAAATGTTTGTTTCTATTATCTATGGTATGGAAGGGATTTAATGGAATTTTAGTGGGATTCTCTTCATCAGGGATACCCAATAGGAAAGACCTATAGCCAACTGACAAATGTCTGGGTGGAGAGATGGCCATCAGGTCCCTAAGGGGGCTGTATGTGAGATAGATCATACTTTCTGTCCAGTAGGATTTATGATCAACCATCGCTGCTGAATGGGCTGAAGAGGGTTAGGACTACTGGTGGCCAGGGGGAGAATCCATAGCCCTATCCACACAGCGAATAGGCAATTTGAGAGGGTTACCAGTTTTTTTTTAATTTCCAGCCAGAGTCTGGACAAGGCGCAGGCTTGAGATGAGAGGCATGGATCCAGGAAGTGATTCCGTCTATCTTTACCACTGTAGGTATTATAAGTAGCACCTGGTATGGTCCTTTCCAGCGGGGTTCCAGGGATGACACCTGATGTCGTCTTACATAGATGAAGTTTCCCACTTGATATCAGTGTGGAGTTCCTTCGTCCCCAGGTTGGTAGGCAGTGGCCAGCTGTTTCCACAGGTATTGCTGAGTTTTTTTTAAGAGCTTTAAGTCTGTCAAGCAAGGGGGTGTGAAAGGAATCGTTAGGTCTTAGAGTTGGGGTCAGGTCCCTTACTGGAGGAGGGGCACCATAGAGAATTTCATAGGGGGTAAGGTTACACAAAGAAATAGAGGGAATATTTCTTGTATGAAACAGTGCATAAGGCAGGAGCATAGTCCAATCTTTTATGCCAGTCTCCAAGTTTAATTTTGTCAAGGTCTCTTTAATGGTTCTATTCATTTTTTTTTACCTGTCCTGAGCTCTGGGGTCTATAAGTGCAATGTAACCTCCAATTAATCCCCAGGGTCCTGGCTAACCCCTGACTTACCTGGGCCACGAACGGCAGTCCATTATCAGACCCTATTACCTTAGGCAGGTTGTATCTTGGAAAAATATCTTCCAGGATCTTTTTGACCACCATTTGTGCCATTTCTTTTTTTGTGGGGAAGGCTTCAATCCATCCTGAAAATGTATCTACAAAGATTAGGAGATATTTAAGTCCATACCTTGCTGGCTTAATTTCAGTAAAGTCCACTTCCCAAAATTGTTCTGGTCTGGTTCCTCGAAGGCACCTTCCTACAGGAAGCCTGGAGGGGTAAGCATTAACCAATTGATAGACCCGACAGGCTTTTGTTACCTGTTCAGCTATTTCCTTTCACTGTGAGCCGGTTAGTGGAAAACTCTGTTCTTGATCCTTCAGGAATGCCTGCAATTTCTTTGAACCAAGGTGAGTGAGTCGATGTACATTTTTAATGTAGTGTAGGGCTTTCTGAAATTGCAGGCTGGGCTCAGTAATGTCGAGGAGTTCAGTGTCAGTGTCCTTATGTTCCCCCAGTGTGGAAAGTGTTAACATGGTTTCTCCATTTAGGGCTGCCAATTTAGCCTCTTCATTTGCCCTCTTGTTAGATGGGGGTGGTATCTGCACAACGGTTTGTTTTCTGGGCTCTGTGAGCCATCGTTTACTGCCCCTAAGGGAATAGTCCAGGAAGATTACTTCTTGCTGGCAAATTTGGGCCTTTTTGGCAGAAGCTCTATACCCAAGTTGAGCAAGCTCGGATAATAGAATTTGGATCCCAGACTCACAGTTTTACTTTGTATCGGCTGCCAGTAGCAGGTCATCCACATATTGAAGCAGGGTGACTTCGGGGTGCATAGTTCTGAAGTTGTTGAGATCTCTGTGGAGGGCTTCATCAAAGAGAGTGGGGGAGTTTTTGAACCCCTGTGGGAGTCTGGTCCAAGTTAGTTGATCAGTTGTTCCAGTTTCTGGGTTTACCCATTTGAAAGCAAACAGCAACTGACTATCTTTATGCAGAGGCAAGCAAAAGAAAGCATCTTTTAAGTCCAGGACAGTATACCATTTTCGTTCAGGGTTCAGGGTGCTAAGCAGATTGTACGGATTAGGTACTGTGGGGTGAATGTCCTGCATTTTGTTGTTGGTCTCTCTTAGGTTTTGAATGGGGCGATAGTAGCAGGGGAGTGTTCCAGGCCGATTGACAGGGCTTCTTTGTTCAGAGGATATTGTTTAATATTAATTGGGGAGGCAGAGGTTTTTAACTCCACTGTTATTGGAGGTTGTTTTACAGTTAGGCCTAACTTAGCAGTTTCTGCCCAGGCATCTGGGTAATCTGTTATCCATTTCTGGGATAGCTTGCCTGTTTGATCAGTCTTGGGGGGTGTGAAGAGTTGATGTTCATCTTTTACTGACATAGTTAAAATAATGACTATAGGAGTTTTTACTGAAGGATTTAGAAATTCCATTTGGGGGCCTTCAGGGTTAAAAGTTATTCTGGCCTGGAGTTTGGTGAGCAGATCTCTGCCCATCAATGGGGCTAGGCATTCTGGGATCACTAGGAAGGAGGAAGGAGTTATGGACTTTTCCTTTCTCCAGGTCCATGGTCCTCTTAGTTGTCCAAGCCCAATATTTACTGCCATTAGCCCCTTGAACTTGAGACCTTTTAGTTGATAGAGGGCCCAATGGGGCCTTAAGGGCTGAGTATATTGCCCCTGTATCCACTTCAAAGTTTTCTGAGGTTCCCTCCACTTCAAAAGTTACCTTGAGCTCAGGGAGGGGATCCGAGCCCTGACTTTCCTAGTCATCCTCCAGAGTTACTTGCTGGCGTGGCTGTTTCTTTTTAGGGCACTCTTTGGCCTAGTGTCCTTTTTCTCTACAGTAGGCACATTGATCTGAGGCCAGTGGTGGCTTCTGGCCTGGGCCCAGGTATCCCTTTCTGTTTCTCTGTCTCTTAACTTCTGGCCTATTTGTTGTTGTGACCAGGACCTTAGTCAATGCCTCCCTCAGTCTGTCTTTTGCTTCTTTTATCCTCCCTTTCTTTCTCCCTCCTTTGTTCCTTCTCTTCCTCAGTTTCTCTCTTATAGTATACCTTCTCAGCTTTTCTGACTAAATCTCTCAAAGTCATATCTTGTAATCCATCTAAGCATTGTAACTTTTTTTTTAATATCCAGAGCAGCTTGCCCAATAAAGGCCATCATGACAGATGTCTTTTGAGGATCAAAAGGAGTATATCTCCTATATGCCTCCATAATTTTCTCCAGAAACATACAGGGAGATTCATTAGGCCCTTGAATAATCTCTCTTACCTTGGCCAAAATAGTTGGCTGTCTAGCAGCTGCTCAGAGACCCGCTATTAGAGCCCGGTGATAAGTGGACAGATGCTCCCTACCTTCAAAGGTGTTGGGGTCCCAGTTGGGTCGGTTCAAGGGGAAGTTGTGTCGGTTGCCCATCTGGTCCAAGGATATTTTTTTTAGCTTCCAGGAGGATTCTCTTTTGTTCCTCTGTCATGAAGAGAGTCCCTAGGAGTGGTTGGCAGTCATCCCAAGTAGGCTGGTGTGAAAATGCCGGCGAGTTCTTTGAGTTTTTTAGCTGGGCCAGTTTCCTCCAGGGGAGGAGGGGCTGTGTGTGCCTCGGGGAATTCATCTGGAGGGTGCTGGGCCGGCTTAGCCTCCTCTAGTGGTGGAGAAGCTGAGTCAGCAGCAGGGGAATCACTTAGAGGGTGTTGGGGGTTGAGGAACGAAGGCAGGGGATAAGGAAAGGGAGGAGAGTCCAGCAGAGTCAAATCTTGAGACTCAGGGAGAACAAAGGGTGGAGAAGAAGCAGAGGGTTTGAGAGATAGAATCATGGGAGGAGGAGTAAGAGCGGGGGCAGGGACAAGGAAAGACTTCACCCATGGAGGAGGAGATTTGCAGAGGTCCTGCCAAGTTAAGATATACGGCTGTTGATCTGGATGGCTATGTGGTCCTGGCTGAAAGACAAAGACAATATCTCTGACTTTTCAAATTAGTGGGAAGTAGAAAGATCCTTCTGGGGGCCATCCGACTCCAAAGGTGGGCCATTCTGAGGCACAGAGAGTCTGCTAGGTCTGGTGTTTTACTGAAAAAGAAAGAGTTTTAAGCCCTTAAGCGGATTTCAGTCCAGTGATCAAGGGTCAGGGACAGAGGCATGGAATGGCTCTGTCCCATAATGAAAGTTACTTGAACAAAGACAGGGACAATACAAACGTGACACAAACATGGACACACAGTAAACAGTAAACGTGTAACACAAGTTCAGAGGCAAAGATTAAAAACAGACAGTGAATTCAACCTGAGAGAAAGAATAGTTGCCGGCAAAACCAGATGGGTCGGCAGCAGAATATACCAGATGAGGGCACCTCCGCCCCTCCCAGATGGGGAAACTTCCGTCCCCCCCAGAGTCTTTCAAAGCATCCCTTGAAAGACGTGGTCTGTGGCTTCTGGACACATCTGTCAACCACCGCCAGGGGGAGCTCACGCTCTCCGCTAGCAACCACACTATGCCAACCCAAACCAAAACACCAGAAGGCTCTGAGAGCTCATGCTCTTCGCTGAGCCAAAAACCAGAAGGCTCTGAGAGCTCACGCTCTTTGCTGAGCCAAAAATCAGACTCTGAGCGATCGCAAAGGAAAAACAAGAAGGAGTAAAAGGAGGAGGAGAAGAAGAAGAAAAGGCGCCTTACTTACCCCCCTAAAGGAGTCTTGTTGAGGTCTCCCTGTCCTGCGATGCGCAGTTCCCGGCCAAGGCACAAAATGTTAGGGTCCGGCGAAACATCGGAGGAAGAGACCACAAGAGACTTTCTTATGCAACAGCAGAAGGGTGGGTTTATTTGGAGACCAGCATGCTGGGGCCCAGAGCTCTCTATAGCAAAGAGAGATAGAGCCCTGAGAACAGCTTAAGCAGAGCTTATATACTTTCCTTGGAGAGGGCAGGGAGAGAAGTTACATTTTGTAGTTTGGAAGTTGGGGACAGCTCATTCTGGGAAGAAGATTAGCAAACAGTTCACAGTTGGGGACAGCACATTATGGGAACAAGATTAGCAAACAGTTATTAAGACTTCAACAGTGTTTTGTTAAGCATATAGAAAAACGGAGTGACAAGTACCTATTTTATTAACCTTTCACTATCAGAGCTGTGTTAATCCAGTGTGGTACTTGCATAAAATAGAAACAGAGAGAAATGGGATAGATATGTGATTTGAGAGCTAAATTAACTCATCTCTGGACAACAAGATTTTTAACAAGTCTACAAAAAGTTCTACTGTCTGTACAATAGTCCCTTCTACAAATGCTACTAAAACAACTTAATTATCACATGTAAAAGAGTGAAGTTAGACCTCTACAACATACTATATATAAAAATTAACTCCAAATAGATTAAAAGCTTAAGTATAGGAGCTAAAATAGAAGATGCTGATTAAAAAAAAAAGAATAGGGCTAAGTCTTTGTGACCTTGGATTTTTTGATAAGGCATCAAAAGTAAGAGCAAAAAAAAAGAATAACAGGTAAATTAGCTTTCATTAAAATTAAAAGACATTTTCAGCATGAATAACATATTCAAGAAAGGGAAAAAATCTATAAAATGATAGCAAATATTTTCAAATCATGCATTATGGGGAATTAATATATAAAGAACCACTACAACTCAAGAAAATTAAAGCAACTAAATGGAATATGGAAAAGGACTTGAGTAGATGTTTCTCACAGTTTAATTCAGCTTAACTGGGGCTGAGGATGTGGCTCAAGAGGTAGCACGCTCGCCTGGCATGCGTGCGGCCCGGGTTCGATCCTCAGCACCACATACCAACAAAGATGTTGTGTCCACCGAGAACTAAAAAATAAATATTAAAAATTCTCTCTCTCTCTCTCTCTCTCTCTCCTCTCTCACTCTCTCTTTAAAAAAAAATTCAGCTTAACTGAAGCAGAAGTCACTGGAGCAAGTACCTCCTGCAAACATTTCCATGGTGATTTTAATGAATTTCTGGAGACTGAATGTAAAGCAGCATCAAAATTGTTTAAATTAGTATATTGATGTTTAAATTTTCTGTCTTCCTAATTCAATATGGGTCGGTCATATTCATGATTTTCTATTTTGCTGGAGTATGGATTTTCAAAATAGTTTCTGTCATTTGTGGTTTAGTGGTATCCATGGTGATGTTTACTTTTTCATCATGAATGTTAGAAATCTGATTTTGGTTTTTTTTTTTTTTTTGGAAGCTTGGCTTTTTGTTTCTTTGTGCTTTTTTGTTTTTTGTTTGTTTGTTTGTTTCAGTTTCCTTGGTTTCAGCTCTGATTTTAAGTATTTTATGTCTTCTATTACTTGTGGTGTTGATTTGTTCTTCCATGTTTTCCATTGAATTTTTAATTTGGTTGATTGATTCCTTCCCTTCAAGGATTTCTGCTTATTTTTTTTCAGAGTCTCTACATCTTTACTGAAGTAATCTTTCACTTCCTGTATTTTCTTTGTGATCTCACTCCTTACATCATCTTTTTGCCTCACAGATCAGTTTAACTATGATAATTCTAAATTCCTTCTCTGATATTTCTTCCACTCTGCTATAGATGGATTCTGCTATTGAATTATTTTGGTTTATCTAGGGTGATTTTTTTCCTTTGCTTTTTCATGTTGTTTGTGTGTCTACCCATCTAACAGTCTTGTTTCAAGGGAACAGAGTTTCTACCCTGTGGACCTATAGTATCCCTGAAGTTTTACACTACCTCACCATTTAGAAGGAGACAAATAATAAAAAGAACCAATGAAAACAACTTGCAGCATTAAACCAAATGGTTCCTGCTTTGGTCTCTGTAACATTAATCATCACAATAAACATAAATTAAATGATCAGTTATTGGCCATGGTAAGAACAGCAAATTTACATAAGGTTTACAATTTTAAATGATGAATAGGGATAGAAAAGAAGTGATGTAGGATCTGATAATTGTGAGAAAGGAGGAGATAAAATAGAAGTAAAAAGCAAAGGTAGAGGGACTGGAGTTGTGGCTCAGCAGTACAGCACTCACCTAGCACGTGCCAAGACCCTGGGTTTGATCCCCAACACCACATAAAAGTAAAGGTATTGTGTCCAACTACAACTAAAAAATAAATATTAAAAAAGTAAAGGTAGCATAAAAGATCATAGAGAAGAAGAAAAGAGAAACAGATGAGAGAGAAAAATGCATAAAATAAAAATTTCATAAAAATAAAGGAGTACAAGAACAAAACTGATATATATTACTCAAATATCTTAGTCCTCAAAATACTGATCCATGAAAAATAACTGCCTTCAAAAAATACTAGGAATGAGAAAAAAAGAAACAGATATGAATATGTATAAGTGTCCATGAACCATTCAGGTCACAATTAAACATAGAGAAAAAGAAAAGGGGGGGAATGAATGGGATCAAGGAAACATTAAGAAATTGTTTCTGGAGTTCAAAATATTCTCGGCTTCCCTTCTCAGCTATGTTAGGTGGGGTTGCTGGAGTGTGGAGGGAAATCCTGTAGGTGGGGCTCCTGGGGGAAAGGTTTAGGCTTAGGTAGGATCCAGGTTCTTCCTTGAGTGGTGATTGGTCTGAAATTTTTAAATCAGCACACCTCCCAGGCCAAACAGATGCTGGACAATGCTGGGAGACTGTCTCCTAGGAAACCCCTGGTTTTCCCTTATGCAGTGGAGAAGCCAATCCTTGTTTCCCTCAGTCACTTGTGAACCTGATGTTTTCTGGAATCTCAGATTGTCCCTGAACTCAATCAATTCCTCCCCAGCTGTGAGGATGGCCTTAGGCCTGAGCCTAAGCAACTCCATTTTTAAAACTCCAGTTTAAATCCTGCAGTCTCAATAGGCACACCTAATGGAGCCCTCCAGTATGGCCCTCAGACATAAACAAGTCACTTTCCCTCACCCTGATAAACAGAGTGAAGCCTCTGGCAGGCTGTCCTCGCCGGGATAAGAGGGAAAGGTGAGAAGATCAGTGTGGAAACCACCAGACCAGATGTTTCTGACCCCAGGGTAAATGATGTCATGGAGAAATCCAGTGGTAGCTGATAAGGATTGAAAGGGGGGTCAAAAGCCCCAAAATTTAGTATAAATAATAGAGCTAATGAATAGGGATTCAGCCAGCCAAAACAAGGATGCGCTGGAGCCCGAGGGCCTGAACTGACATCCCATCACTTCTCATCATTTTCCTGATCCTTTATGTGATTCTCAGTCCCCTCAAACTCTACCACCTTATCAGCCCCTGGTGAGAGCCACAACTTCTCCATACAACCCTCTCTCCAACCTTTTGTCCACTCCACGCCAAGAGAAGCCTGCCTTGGTTCCGGACCTGATCACCGCTTTCTGAGTGAGTGTGAATTTGCTTTTGAACTTAGCATGCAGAGGGAATGTCTGTCATTAGCCTTTCATGATTAAGTAAGTTTGCAGTGCTTAGAATTAATCTAGAATTGTTTGCTGTGAATTTATTATGTCTATTGCAGTGCCTAGCATTAAGGATTGTTGTTTTCTTGATTAGGAACCTATAGAGTGAAATTGTATTGAGCAACTTGAGTGAATAAAGCATTGAAAGGGGCAGAAGTGTGTGGACATTCTTTATTTCTCGCCCTCTACTGCATGCATCACAAAAAAAAATTTGCCCCTTGAGACACCAGCCCTTTTGAATTCCTGGTCAGGGGCATCTCTCCCAAACCATCTTTCACGCAGCCAGAGTAGAGGGTATGGGAAACCAAATAGGTTTCCCCCATGAGTATTCCCCTGTAAAAAACCCTCACCATGTTTGATCTTCTCCTGGTCATGTGGGCACACTCTATTTCAAGATAGGCACAGTTGCCAGGATTTGGTTCCCCCATCTGTTAGCCCCCTGCACTGCAATTGCAAAATGGTTTCTTCCTCTGTTCTCCCCAGCAGCCAGGATAAAGAGATATTGTGGGGCTAGGGTTGTGGCTCAGTGGCAGAGCACTTGCCTAGATGTGTGAGGCACTGTGTTCAATCCTCAGTATCACATAAAAATAAACAAATAAAATAAAGGCATTCTGTCTACATACAACAACAAAAAAATTTTTAAAAGAGAGACATTGTGCAGGACACCCTTTAGGTTAGTTGGGCAGTCTATTGTGCATACACCTTTCAGATTAGTCTTTGATCTCTGATCTCTCCATTCCCAGGAATGCCTCAGACCTCCTTAAAATGTAGATTCCTTTAATTAATGTATCCCTCCATTATTTTTGCACAGGGAGGAATTTGGTGGCACTGGGGATTTCTTCTTTATTATGTTATATCCATTCTCCTGTATCCCCAATCTGCTTTGAATGTCCAGAATTAATCCCCAGTAAAGTCTCTCCTTCTCACCTTGCAGAGAAGCTGCAGGTCTGATTTCTTGGTTTCATACCATGGAGCAACCAGGAAAGTGACTTTCTCTAATTTGCCATTTTGAATCCTACAGTGGGGTTGTGTTCTGATAAACCCATCAGAATTTGAACATATAAGTGCTAATGCATCCAAATTCATAGCTTACTGAGCATTATAGCTTCAACACAGTACAGTATAGAGTATTGGGTGTTTACTCTCATGATTGCTGTGCTGACAGAGAGCTCCACTTCCCAGTATCACAAGAGAGTTTCAAGTCACATCTTGCTAGCAAAATTCCAAACTTAAGTACGGTTTCTGCTGAATATGTACTGCTTTTGCACCATAATAAAGTAAAAAACTCCTAAAGAAAACCATTGTAAGTTGAACACCATCAATAGATACATGTGTGTGTGTGTGTGTGTGTGTGTGTGTGTGTGTGTGTGTGTGTGTGAATACATCCAATTTTATCTTCAGGAGTTCTTTTATTATCTGGTATGGGCCCCAGAGGACTCAGAACAATGATCAACATTTACCAGCTTGCC